AGGCTGTCAAACCCTTTCACTCTCTATCTAAAAATAAAAAAATGGTTTGGATTTTGACGTAAGGGTGCATTCCTGATCCCAGTGAGCCTTTCCACCTATGGAGAAGCTGAACACCAAAGTGACAGCCTTGACTGATTCCAGGGAGCACTTGGAGCACTGGTGCAAGAGACAAATTAACAAAGCCCAACAGATACCATCATCCCGTCTTCTCCAACATCATCCCCGATGCTGATACATTAAAGAGAACATGAACAATACCTGACAGATCTCATCATCCCATCTTCTCCAACACCATCCTCAATGCTGGTACATACAAGAGAATATGAACAATGCCCAACAGGTCCCATCATCTCATCTTCTCCAACTTCATCCACAATGTTGGCACATACACGAGAACATGAACAAAGCCTGACATATCCCATTTTCTCCAACTTCATCCCCAATGCTGGTGTGACGGAACGCCTGTCACCCCGATTGGGTGATTCCGTCAGAGAACCGCTTCCTCGCCACTGGGACACAGGACCAAGGTTTTATAGCTAGGCATCGCACCCAAGACTAACTTAGGTGCCAAAACTGGAGCTCTTTATTGGACAGAAATACAGGTTTTTATACACTTCACAAACGGGCAGTGCCCACATGAACAATTACCACAAATAATATACATTAGGATAAACCTTCCATGCTGATTAGATAACGAGGTGAAGCTGACATCAGTCTAATCTCATCATTTAGTAACCTCCAAGATGACTTGCCAACAGACGAACAACAGGTGACTCAATAACCTCAATTAATAATGGAATGCACACCTAGGAGGCACACAATGGTAGAAAGACACATGACACCTTAATAAACAGATTAGGCATAACAAGAGTCCTTCGCATCAAGTTGTTTTGAGCTGAATATATTATCTGTTAATATAGTTATTAGTCTGAGTATAGCAGTCAATGCTGGTTTGGGCACACAGACCCAAATCTGTATCCTGGTCCTCCACTTCTCAGAGTCTGGGTGTTTTGGGGAGACATTAACTTGGAACCAAAGTAAAGTATTCTAAAAGTCCCCTCCAGGCGCACACACCTCCCAAAACATAGAGCCCCCTCAGATGCCAGGGCCATGATAAGTAGGCAAGAGGCTAGCCTGAAGTCCCCTCCAAAAGCCCCAGTCCCGGTTGGGTCTGGCACATACAGTGGGGATCAAAAGTTTGGGCACCCCAGCTACAAATTTGTATTAATGTGCATAAAGAAGCCAAGGAAAGATGGAAAAATCTCCAAAAGGCAGCAAATTACAGATTAGACATTCTTATAATATGTCAACAAAAGTTAGATTTTATTTCCATCATTTACACTTTCAAAATAACAGAAAACAAAAAAATGGCGTCTGCAAAAGTTTGGGCCCCCTGCAGAGTTAATATCTTGCACTGCCCCCTTTGCCAAGCTGAGACCTGCCAGTGTCATGGATTGTTCTCAATCATCGTCTGGGAAGACCAGGTGATGTCAATCTCAAAGGTTTTAAATGCCCAGACTCATCTGACCTTGCCCCAACAATCAGCACCATGGGTTCTTCTAAACAGTTGTCTAGAAAACTGAAACTGAAAATAGTTGACGCTCACAAAGCTGGAGAAGGCTATAAGAAGATAGCAAAGCGTTTTCAGATGTCAATATCCTCTGTTCGGAATGTAATTAAGAAATGGCAGTCATCAGGAACAGTGGAAGTTAAAGCAAGATCTGGAAGACCAAGAAAAATATCAGACAGAACAGCTCACAGGATTGTGAGAAAAACAATTCAAAACCCACGTTTGACTGCACGATCCCTCCAGAAAGATCTGGCAGACACTGGAGTTGTGGTCACTATTCCACTATAAAGAGATACTTGTACAAATATGGTCTTCATGGAAGAGTCATCAGAAGAAAACCTCTTCTACGTCCTCACCACAAAAATCATCGTTTGAACTTTGCAAATGAACATATAGACAAGCCTGATGCATTTTGGAAACAAGTTCTGTGGACCGATGAGGTTAAAATGGGACTTTTTGGCCGGAATGAGCAAAGGTACGTTTGGAGAAGAAGGGGCACAGAATTGAATGAAAAGAACCTCTGTCCAACTGTGAAGCATGGGGTTGGATCAATCATGCTTTGGGGTTGTGTTGCAGCCAGTGGCACAGGGAACATCTCACGAGTAGAAGGAAAAATGGATTCAATAAAATTTCAGCAAATTTTGGATGGTAACTTGATGCCATCTGTGAAAAAGCTGAAGTTAAAGAGAGGATGGCTTCTACAAATGGATAATGATCCTAAACACACCTCAAAATCCACGGGGGATTACATCAAGAGGCGTAAACTGAAGGTTTTGCCATGGCCTTCACAATCTCCTGACCTCAACATCATTGAAAATCTATGGATAGACCTTAAAAGAGCCGTGCGTGACAGACAGCCCAGAAATCTCAAAGAACTGGAAGACTTTTGTAAGGAAGAATGGGCAAAGATACCTCAAACAAGAATTGAAAGACTCTTGGCTGGCTACAAAAAGCGTTTACAAGCTGTGATACTTGCCAAAGGGGGCAGTACAAGATATTAACTCTGCAGGGGGCCCAAACTTTTGCAGACGCCATTTTTTTTTGTTTTCTGTTATTTTGAAAGTGTAAATGATGGAAATAAAATCTAACTTTTGTTGACATATTATAAGAATGTCTAATCTGGAATTTGATGCCTTTTGGAGATTTTTCCATCTTTCCTTGGCTTCTTTATGCACATTAATACAAATTTTTAGCTGGGGTGCCCAAACTTTCGATCCCCACTGTACAAGAGAACAGTGCCTGACAGATCTCATCATCCCATCTTCTCCAACTTCATCCCCACTGCTGGTACATGCAAGAGAACATGAACAATGCCTGACCGATCCCATCATCCCATCTTCTCCAACTTCATCCCCACTGCTGGTAAAGACAAGAGAATATGAACAATGCCTGATAGATCCCATCTTCTCCAACTTCATCCCCAATGCTGGTACATAGAAGAGAACACAAACAACTCCTGACATATCCCATCATCCTATCTTCTCCAACTTCATCCCCACTGCTGGTACATACAAGAAAACATGAACAATGCCTGATCGATCCCATCATCCCATCTTCTCCTACATCATCCCTAATGCTGGTACATACAAGAGAACATGAACAATGCCTGATAGATCCCATCATCCCATCTTCTCCAACTTCATCTCCAATGCTGGTACATACAAGAGAACATGAACAATGCTTGACATATCCCTTCATCCCCACTGCTGGTACATGCAAGAGAATATGAACAATGCCTGATAGATCCCATCTTCTCCAACTTCATCCCCACTGCTGGTACATACAAGAGAATATGAACAATGCCCGATAGATCCCATCATTCCATCTTCTCCAACTTCATCCCCAATGCTGGTACATACAAGAGAACATGAACAATGCCTGACACATCCCATCTTCTCCAACTTCATCTCCAGTGCTGGTACATACAAGAGAACATGAACAGTGCTTGACATATCCCATCATCCCATCTTCTCCACCTTCATCTCCAATGCTGGTACATACAAGAGAACATGAATAATGCCTGACAGATCCCATCTTCTCCAACTTCATCTCCAATGCTGGTACACACGAGAACATGAACAATGCCTGATAGGTCCCATCATCCTATCTTCTCCAACTTCATCCCCAAAGCTGGTACATACAAGAGAACATGAACAATGCCTGACAGATCCCATCATCCCATCTTCTCCAACTTCATCCCCAATGCTGGTACATACAAGAGAACATGAACAATGCCTGATAGATCCCATCTTCTCCAACTTCATCCCCAATGCTGGTACATACAAGAGAACATGAACAATGCCTGATAGATCTTATCATCCCATCTTCTCCAACTTCATCCCCAATGCTGGTACATACAAGAGAACATGAACAATGCCTGACAGATCCCATCATCCCATCTTCTCCAACTTCATCCCCAATGCTGGTACATACAAGAGAACATGAACAATGCCTGACATATCCCATCATCCCATCTTCTCCAACTTCATCCCCAATGCTGGTACATACAAGAGAACATGAACAATGCTTGACATATCCCATCATCCCATCTTCAACTTCATCCCCAATGCTGGTACATACAAGAGAACATGAACAATGCCTGATAGATCCCATCTTCTCCAACTTCATCCCCAATGCTGGTACATACAAGAGAACATGAACAATGCTTGACATATCCCATCTTCTCCAACTTCATCCCCAATGCTGGTACATACAAGAGAACATGAACAATGCTTGACATATCCCATCTTCTCCAACTTCATCCCCAATGCTGGTACATACAAGAGAACACGAACAATGCCTGATAGATCCCATCATCCCATTTTCTCCAACTTCATCCCCAATGCTGGTACATACAAGAGAACATGAACAATGCCTGATAGATCCCATCATCCCATTTTCTCCAACTTCATCCCCAATGCTGGTACATACAAGAGAACACGAACAATGCCTGATAGATCCCATCATCCCATTTTCTCCAACTTCATCCCCAATGCTGGTACATACAAGAGAACACGAACAATGCCTGATAGATCCCATCATCCCATTTTCTCCAACTTCATCCCCAATGCTGGTACATACAAGAGAACATGAACAATGCCTGACAGATCCCATCATCCCATCTTCTCCAACTTCATCCCCACTGCTGGTACATACAAGAGAACATGAACAATGCCTGATAGATCCCATCATCCCATCTTCTCCAACTTCATCCCCAATGCTGGTACATACAAGAGAACATGAACAATACCTGACATATCCCATCATCCCATCACAATCTTGAGGACAACATGAAGACATAGATGAAGAGTCATATTCATAACCATATGAGCTGTTCTTGGGGTTCACAAACTATCACATGTATCTGTTAGATACTAAACTTCTGAAAGGTGAGCTGTGTGTGTTCATTCCGGATCACAATTAATGTCTTCTCTTTTCTTCCACAGGCCAGTTCTCCTCCTGTGATTGTAAATACTGACACATTAGAAGCACCAGCATATGTAAGTAATGTAAGAAAAGGTTGTCCCTCCTCCAACATCACAATACTGAGCTACCCACCAACCATCCTACCTATGAGGCTAACCTTCCTCCTGCAGGGTGGGAAGGATGAGGGCTGTGAGCCTGTCCTCCTGCTCCTCCTCCTGCAGGGTGACACAGCGACAGAAGGGGGCTATGAGTCTGCCTCCTCCTCCTGCAGGGTGACACAGTGACAGAAGGGGGCTATGTCTGTCCTCCTGCTCCTCCTCCTGCAGGGTGACACACAGTGACAGAAGGGGCTATGAGTCTGGCCTCCTCCTCCTGCAGGGTGACACAGTGACAGAATGGGGCTATGAGTCTGTCCTCCTCCTGCAGGGTGACACAGTGACAGAAGGGGGATATGAGTCTGTCCTCCTCCTCCTGCAGGGTGACACAGTGACAGAAGGGGTCTGTGATTCTGTCGTCCTCCTCCTCCTCATGCAGGGTGACAAAGTGACAGAAGAGGTCTATGAGTCTGTCCTCCTCCTCCTCATGCAGGGTGACACAGTGACAGAAGGGGTCTATGAGTCTGTCCTCCTCCTCCTCCTGCAGGGTGACACAGTGACAGAAGGGGGATATGAGTCTGTCCTCCTCCTCCTCCTGCAGGGTGACACAGTGACAGAAGGGGGATATGAGTCTGTCCTCCTCCTCCTGCAGGGTGACACAGTGACAGAAGGGGGATATGAGTCTGTCCTCCTCCTCCTCCTGCAGGGTGACACAGTGACAGAAGGGGTCTGTGATTCTGTCGTCCTCCTCCTCATGCAGGGTGACAAAGTGACAGAAGAGGTCTATGAGTCTGTCCTCCTCCTCCTCCTGCAGGGTGACACAGTGACAGAAGGGGGATATGAGTCTGTCCTCCTCCTGCAGGGTGACACAGTGACAGAAGGGGGCTATGAGTCTGTCCTCCTCCTCCTGCAGGGTGACACAGTGACAGAAGGGGGCTATGAGTCTGTCCTCCTCCTCCTCCTGCAGGGTGACACAGTGACAGAAGGGGGCTATGAGTCTGTCCTCCTCCTCCTCCTCCTGCAGGGTGACACAGTGACAGAAGGGGGCTATGAGTCTGTCCTCCTCCTCCTCCTGCAGGGTGACACAGTGACAGAAGGGGGATATGAGTCTGTCCTCCTCCTCCTGCAGGGTGACACAGTGACAGAAGGGGGCTATGAGTCTGTCCTCCTCCTCCTCCTCCTGCAGGGTGACACAGTGACAGAAGGGGGCTATGAGTCTGTCCTCCTCCTCCCTCCTGCAGGGTGACACAGTGACAGAAGGGGGCTATGAGTCTGTCCTCCTCCTGCAGGGTGACACAGTGACAGAAGGGGGCTATGAGTCTGTCCTCCTCCTCCTCCTCCTGCAGGGTGACACAGTGACAGAAGGGGGCTATGAGTCTGTCCTCCTCCTGCAGGGTGACACAGTGACAGAAGGGGGCTATGAGTCTGTCTTCCTCCTCCTGCAGGGTGACACAGTGACAGAAGGGGGCTATGAGTCTGTCCTCCTCCTGCAGGGTGACACAGTGACAGAAGGGGGCTATGAGTCTGTCTTCCTCCTCCTGCAGGGTGACACAGTGACAGAAGGGGGCTATGAGTCTGTCCTCCTCCTGCAGGGTGACACAGTGACAGAAGGGGGCTATGAGTCTGTCTTCCTCCTCCTGCAGGGTGACACAGTGACAGAAGGGGTCTATGAGTCTGTCCTCCTCCTCCTCCTCCTGCAGGGTGACACAGTGACAGAAGGGGGCTATGAGTCTGTCCTCCTCCTCCTGCAGGGTGACACAGTGACAGAAGGGGGCTATGAGTCTGTCCTCCTCCTCCTCCTGCAGGGTGACACAGTAACAGAAGGGGGCTATGAGTCTGTCCTCCTCCTCCTCCTGCAGGGTGACACAGTGACAGAAGGGGCTATGAGTCTGTCCTCCTCCTCCTCCTGCAGGGTGACACAGTGACAGAAGGGGGCTATGAGTCTGTCCTCCTCCTCCTCCTCATGCTGGGTGACACAGTGACAGAAGGGGCTATGAGTCTGTCCTCCTCCTCCTCCTGCAGGGTGACACAGTGACAGAAGGGGGCTATGAGTCTGTCCTCCTCCTCCTCCTGCAGGGTGACACAGTGACAGAAGAGGGCTATGAGTCTGTCCTCCTCCTGCAGGGTGACACAGTGACAGAAGGGGGCTATGAGTCTGTCCTCCTCCTCCTCCTGCAGGGTGACACAGTGACAGAAGGGGGCTATGAGTCTCTCCTCCTCCTTCTCCTCCTGCAGGGTGACACAGTGACAGAAGGGGGCTATGAGTCTGTCCTCCTCCTCCTCCTCCTGCAGGGTGACACAGTGACAGAAGGGGGCTATGAGTCTCTCCTCCTCCTCCTCCTCCTGCAGGGTGACACAGTGACAGAAGGGGGCTATGAGTCTGTCCTCCTCCTCCTCCTCCTGCAGGGTGACACAGTGACAGAAGGGGGCTATGAGTCTCTCCTCCTCCTCCTGCAGGGTGACACAGTGACAGAAGGGGGTTATGAGTCTCTCCTCCTCCTCCTGCAGGGTGACACAGTGACAGAAGGGGGCTATGAGTCTCTCCTCCTCCTCCTGCAGGGTGACACAGTGACAGAAGGGGGCTATGAGTCTGTCCTCCTCCTCCTCCTGCAGGGTGACACAGTGACAGAAGGGGGCTATGAGTCTGTCCTCCTCCTCCTCCTGCAGGGTGACACAGTGACAGAAGGGGGCTATGAGTCTGTCCTCCTCCTCCTCCTCCTGCAGGGTGATACAGTGACAGAAGGGGGCTATGAGTCTGTCCTCCTCCTCCTCCTCCTGCAGGGTGACACAGTGACAGAAGAGGGCTATGAGTCTGTCCTCCTCCTCCTCCTCCTGCAGGGTGACACAGTGACAGAAGAGGGCTATGAGTCTGTCCCTCCTCCTCCTGCAGGGTGACACAGTGACAGAAGGGGGCTATGAGTCTGTCCTCCTCCTCCTCCTCCTGCAGGGTGATACAGTGACAGAAGGGGGCTATGAGTCTGTCCTCCTCCTCCTCCTCCTGCAGGGTGACACAGTGACAGAAGAGGGCTATGAGTCTGTCCTCCTCCTCCTCCTCCTGCAGGGTGACACAGTGACAGAAGGGGGCTATGAGTCTGTCCTCCTCCTCCTGCAGGGTGACACAGTGACAGAAGGGGGTTATGAGTCTCTCCTCCTCCTCCTGCAGGGTGACACAGTGACAGAAGGGGGCTATGAGTCTGTCCTCCTCCTCCTCCTCCTGCAGGGTGACACAGTGACAGAAGGGGGCTATGAGTCTGTCCTCCTCCTCCTCCTCCTGCAGGGTGACACAGTGACAGAAGGGGGCTATGAGTCTGTCCTCCTCCTCCTCCTCCTGCAGGGTGACACAGTGACAGAAGGGGGCTATGAGTCTGTCCTCCTCCTCCTCCTCCTGCAGGGTGACACAGTGACAGAAGGGGGCTATGAGTCTGTCCTCCTCCTCCTCCTCCTGCAGGGTGACACAGTGACAGAAGGGGGCTATGAGTCTCTCCTCCTCCTCCTCCTCCTGCAGGGTGACACAGACGCCATCCAGGAATGTCCTTTGGGGTGATTTTCTAGTAATGGTTTCCATGTTTTCTCTCTTCAGGTGAACGGTACAGAGGCAGAAATGGAATATGAAGAGATCACACTGGAGAGGGTGAGATTCTGACCCGTCTGTCCCTCTTGGAGCCTCGGCTCTCTAGTGCTCCTTCCTTACCTATTTGTGTTCCTCTGTTACCAGGGTAACTCAGGATTGGGGTTCAGCATTGCAGGGGGTACAGATAACCCACATGTAGGAGATGACCCCAGTATCTTCATCACAAAGATCATCCCTGGTGGAGCAGCGGCTCAGGATGGCAGGCTCAGGTAGGTGGTCGGTATAAAGGGGGGAGAAGTACACAGCCAGGTGGGAGGGGGTTTATGTGCATTATTTGTATGTGGTAGTTGAGCATGATGTGCCAGGTGGTGGTTTGATTGTGTAGCCTTCTTTTGGGGGGGGGGTTAGCAGAAATGGCTCTCTCCAAAAGAATATTGGGCTAAACCGATAATTTACTAAGAGAACCAGAACCTTCACTAAGTAGAAGAGTCAGTTTCATAATTAAGTTGGACAAGACCTCCACCCAGGACAGGACCTCCATTCAGGATGGAAATCCACCCAGGCCAGAGCCTCCACCCAGGACAGGACCTCCATTCAGGATGGGAAATCCACCCAGGACAGAGCCTCCACCCAGGACAGGACCTCCATTCAGGATGGGAAATCCACCCAGGACAGAGCCTCCACCCAGGACAGGGCCTTCATTCAGGACAGAGCCTCCACCCAGAACAAGACACCCACAAAGTACAGGGCCTCCACCCAGGAAGGCCCCCATCCAGGAGAGTGCCTCCACCCAGACAATGCTTCCAACTAGGACATAGCCTCCACCCAGGACAGGGCCTTCATTCAGGACAGAGCCTCCACCCAGAACAAGACACCCACAAAGTACAGGGCCTCCACCCAGGAAGGCCCCCATCCAGGAGAGTGCCTCCACCCAGGACAATGCTTCCAACTAGGACATAGCCTCCACCCAGGACAGGGCCTTCATTCAGGACAGAGCCTCCACCCAGAACAAGACACCCACAAAGTACAGGGCCTCCACCCAGGAAGGCCCCCATCCAGGAGAGTGCCTCCACCCAGGACAATGCTTCCAACTAGGACAGAGCCTCTACCCATTACAGGGCCCCAATCCAGGAAAGGGCCTCCACCCAGGACAGAGCATCCACCCTGACAGGGCCTCTGTGAACAGAGGGGATTCCCTTCCTGGGAAATGAATCAGTAAACTAATCAAAGTAATTGGGAGCAGATGAACTACTACAACCAGCATATAACTATAAGTATATAAATGTACACCAGTATAGAAATAATACAAACTTTATAATATAATAATACAAGCTTTATATAATAAATCCATACAGCCAATGTACTCACAGGGATTATCAGCAAAGGCCCCGATAGGAGTCCAGGGGGAATTGCGCATGTATTAAAAAGGTTTTGGGAACCACAATCGGGCTCAGGGTAGGATTTCTGCTGCTGTTCCTAATTTTTAGAGAAATGAAGTGCACGTGCAGGCCGGACAATGAATCACACTGGCAACTGTGCAGTATAACAAGGTCCTCATCTCTGTGTATTGCAGGGCGGGGCTTAACCTTTTATACATAGAGAACAATAGAGTACACGTCACTATTATGTAAATACAGTCACATTCTAAAAGGCACATTTTGCTTGGCTGAAATATGGGAGAAATACAGAAACTTGAAGCTTGCTTCTCGTCCGTTATCTTTTCACTCCCCCTCATATACTCAAAGCCTAAGTAAAATCCTCTCAGTGCGAAGGGAGGGGTTGGGAACATCGCTCTGAATAAACAAGTTAAAGAGAACTGCAAAGTCCAGCAGATAAAATATATACGCATAAACACATATATTTAGAAATATGAAAAAATATAAAAGTAAATATATATATAAAATGTATATTTTAAACAGGAAACCGAATAGGCATTTTACCAAATCCATCACAATATACTGGGGGAATCGGGGTATATATCGTTTTTAACAGATACCTCAAGATGAATGTTGCAGCAAAGTCCAGTTGCCAGGGCTCCTGAGGATGATGCAGCATCTGTCTTTGTGTGGGAGACTGGAAGACAACATCAGCAGTGATGGAGAGATCCTCCAACTGTTGTCCAACCAGCCTGGAACAGAGTTTCTCACCATCATTAACTGTGGTGTGGCACTGGAACTCAGAGTCAGCCTGTTTAGTCTGTGCTGTAGTCACTCCCTAGTAGTTTATATTAGTCTCTTCTGGTCCAGGATTTGGCAACATGGACAGGACAAGTGGCCAGACTTTCTTTCTTTCTCTACTTGCTCTTTCTGGGGCTTCCAAGCCAACAACCAGGGGCAGGAAGTGCATACATAATATATTTACAGGCATTTACAAATGTAGACAGGTAAGACAGCAGATCCCTACAATTGTTTTACAACATATAATTAGACCAGATATCATTTTCCCAGATTACACAGAATTTTGATGAGAAAATGCAGACAAATTGTGTGTAAGCTGGTTTGTTGGTTTGGTCCACCATCAGGGTTAGTCCACAAAGCTGGAACACATGATCTATTTTATAGTAGCCGTAACATTTGTGCATTATAACTTTCCAAATTCATCTTATTATGGGACCGGATGAATAAGGTGGACAGAAGGCTTACAGAATCCTCCCTTCCCCATCATCCATTCATCTTCATCAGTCACCACCCTCTCTTACCTAGCATGTAATCACCTTCCTCCATAACAGATTTCCCTCTTCCATCATCCATCTATCATTCTGCATCACAGCATCTTCCATCTACTGCTGTTCTTCCTCCCTTCACCATTATCCAGTCATCAGTCATCTTCCTCCATAACTGCTGTTCTTCCATCACCCAATTGTCCTCCATCATAACCACTCACCCTTCCCCATCATCCAGTCATCTTCCTCCATAACTGGTCTCCCATTTCCTATCACCCATCATCATCTATAATAAAGACTCTCTCATTCCCTATCTTCCAATCATTTTCCTCTAGAGCCCTTCTCCCTTTTATCTCATCCGATTTATTTACAGTCCCGCTTCCAATATCCAGTCATTCTCCTCCAGAACCACTTCCAACATTCCATGATCTTCCATTATAAGTACCTTCCTTTTCTCATTTCCAATCATTCTCCACTATAATTACCCTACATCCCCATCTCCCAGTCATGCTCCACCATAAACTATCCTTTCCCATTTTCCAATCATCTCCATCCATAACAGCTCTCTTTTTCTATCAGGCAATCATTGTCCTCCATAACCGCACTCCCTTCCCCATCATCTAGTCTTTCTCCATGATAACCACACTTCTTTTCCATCATACAATCATCATCTGCCATAACCATCCTTCCTTCCCCATCATATAATCATCTTCCACCATAACTGTTCTCCTTCCCTTTTAACCAATCACCATCCACAGTAAAGAAATAAATTAATAAAGACCTTCCCTTCCCCATTTTCCAAACATATTTCTCTATAACCCCCCTTCCCTCTTCATCATCCAATCATACTCCACTTTATACACCCTTTCTCTTCTACTGCCATAACTGCCCACCCTTCTACATAGTCCAGGCACCTTCAGTCCCCACAACTGAATCATCTTCCTTCATAACAACCTTCTTTCCTCCATAATCCAATCTTCTTCCTCCATAACCTTCCTCCCTTCCCCATCATCCAGTCATTTTCTTCCATAGCCATCCAATTTTCTTGTATCATCCAGTCATCTTTCACCATAACTGCTCTCCCTCCTCTATTATCCATTTTTCCTATACCTCTTCATGCCAGCCTTCTATGGGTCAGCTGTGCCCCCCCCCCCCCCGACTCCTCTGTTACTCCCTACCCTATCCCACCCAGGTTCAGCCTTTCCTGGCTGGAGGGTACCCCTAGGTGCAGGAACTTTGTGTACATACCTAGCATAAATTGCTGGTCATCCTGGACTAGATGTGGCTCATAGGACTTTTTCCTGTTCATGTGTATATGTTTCTGTGTACTCTGGTGCCTTGTTTAGCTGGGTAGTAGCTGCTTCTTGTGCTTAGCAATTGGATGGTTGAGTGCACAAATGCATGCTGAGTAAAGGTATTCAAGCCCTCTTTTTTGTTCCTGGGCAAGTCTCTGTTCCTGAGGATCTGCTGTTGGTTAGATGTAGTTATAGCAGGAGGGAGTCAAGGCCATTACCATTCTACCATATTGGCTGAGAAGACAATGGTTCCTCCTTCTGTGGACTATGCAGTTGGCTCTTCTAATTTTGCCTTTCTGTCTACGTCACTGGATAAACATTTTGGACTTTTTACAGCAAGGCCTTTAATTAAGCCTCATTTATAATTCTCCCTGGCTGCAGGTATTGGCTCTCTCTCTGCCTTATCAGGTGGGCACTACATTAAGTGACACCATTTATAAAGTCTGTGATGAAAATTCAGCCTCATTTGGAACTGCTGATTCCAAAGTGAGTATTGACTCTGGTCTTTTGTGCTTTGATAAAGCCACTGTTTGATTGTATGGATTCTTAAAACACGTGGCATTTTACCTTAAGAACTATCTTCTTGTTGGCTATTGTGTCAATCTTCTCAGTTAAGGAGCCATTTTGTATGTTCCTACATGACACGGTAATCTTGAGACCAATTTCTCCATTTTCACCCAAGGTCACATCTCCCTTTCTTCTCTACTGGGAAATTATACATTTGGCATTCATGGCCAATGATCTTACCTGTTCAGAGTTGGAATGGCTGAAGCTGGATTTGGTTTGGAATCTGTTTACTCACCTTGAAACAATGGTAGACTTCATGTATGAAGATATTTTCTCTTTATTCTCTCATTAGAAGTGTAGAAAGCTGCAGTCCTTCCTAGGGTTTGTCATCATGGGTTGTCAAGACTCTCCAACTGGCCTATAAATCATCTGTTCTCCCTCCCTCCTCAAAAATCATTCTAGAAGAGTTGTGGCACTTGGGGTAAAGGTTCCACTGGAGACCATTTCAAAGACAGTGAGATGAGGCACATCCAACACATTACTCAGAGATTACAGGCTTGATGTGAGTTCTGGGCCTGTAGATCCCATAGGGACTTTAGTCCTTTTGCTACTTTGTCTAAATAATAACCATTCTTGTGTTAATTCAAGACTCCTAGTGTTCCCCTCTTCTTCTGTGTTTGATTGCTAGCACACGCCTTAGTAGTTTGACATAAGGCAGTTTAGAAATATGGAAATTTGTTTACTTGATACTTACCGTAATTGTTTATTTTTGGATACTCTTCATGTCAGCGAGTCTAATTACAGGAAGAGGGGCCAGTCCCAATTTATGTTCTTGTTAGAGGCTGTCCTAGGCTCTCAGGAAGGCAGAGCTGACCCAAAGGGGGCTGACAAGAGGAGGCTCCAAGAAAGAAAGAAAAGCTAGAGTTCCATTATCTTTCATGATAACTGCCCACCCTCTTATATCATGCAATTATCTTCCATCAGAGCTGCCCACCCTCCTCTATAATCTAGTCATTGTCATATATATGCCTTTCCTCTCTCATTATCCAATCATTTTTCACTATAACTGCCCACCTCCTTGATTTGGTTATCTTCCACTATAACTCCTCCATCATTTAGTCAACTTCCACCATAACTGCCCACCCTCCCCCAACATCCAATCGTCTTTCTCCATAGCCAACCCCCCTCCCCCATCATCCAATCATTTCCACCAGAACTGATGTCTTTTTGTGTTTCTCTCTTAGGGTGAATGACAGCATCCTGTTTGTGAATGAGGTAGATGTGCGGGAGGTGACACACAGCACTGCCGTGGAGGCTTTAAAGGATGCCGGTTCCATTGTCCGTCTTTATGTCATGCGCAGAAAACCAGCATCTGAGAAGATCATTGAAATCAAACTGATCAAAGGGCCAAAAGGTAAGTCACTAAAAGGTGATAGGTATAATGTGCCACCACCCATTTTAGTTTCTGCTCTTTGGGACCCCTGCCACCAACCCTCACTGGAAAGTGATGGCGGTGCTTCATGAACCCCCAGTGTAGTCTCTGCTTTTTGGGGCCCCTGCCACCAATTGTCACTGAAAATTGATGTGGTATAATAGGAAATAGGCAGACTTCTATAGACATACAACATGGGAATAGCCAGACATACAGTACATATACAGTATATAGAACATGGGAATAGCCAGACATACAGTACATATACAGTATATAGAACATGGGAATAGCCAGACATTAATGGGGTGAGGGATCTCATGAAATGAAAAGATTGTGTTTCACAGTATCTGTTGGTGATACCATACTGTCCTCTCTGCTCAGGTCTCGGCTTCAGCATTGCCGGTGGTGTTGGGAACCAGCACATTCCTGGAGATAACAGTATATATGTGACGAAGATTATTGAGGGTGGAGCAGCACACAAGGATTGCCGGCTTCAGATTGGAGACAAAATTCTAGCGGTGAGTTCAGTGCATTTCTTCTCCTATTTCTCCATGTTAGTTAGAATCATGAGAAGATGGACCTGAGATCTATCCTGTTCATCCTGGAGGAGTCAGAAGGATTCTCGGAATACATGTAATTCAAGGTGGAGTCTGGTCAGTGCAGAATCACTTTGGGTGGAGTTTCCTTTATGACTGGGTATATTCTGTCATGGTGGTGACAGAAGTCTGAGCCAGTTGTGGTTCACTCAGAGGCCATCTCACATCAATGATCTCTCAGCTAGGTGTGAGTTTTTGACCGATAAGGTCTCAGTATGTTCATGGCTCCACTTCCTGCCATCCTACATGGCATAACAAGTAAGGGCTGGACAAATCTTCCCTCAGTTATCTGTATGTCACTGTGTGCCGGCATGTCCTCCTCTACCTTCATCTCACCTGTATGTCACTGTGTGCCGGCATGTCCTCCTCTACCTTCATCTCACCTGTATGTCTCTGTGTGCCGGCATGTCCTCCTCTACCTTCATCTCACCTGTAAGTCACTGTGTGCCGGCATGTCCTCCTCTACCTTCATCTCACCTGTAAGTCACTGTGTGCCGGCATGTCCTCCTCTACCTTCATCTCACCTGTATGTCACTGTGTGCCGGTGTTTCCTCCTCTACCTTCATCTCACCTGTATGTCACTGTGTGCCGGCATGTCCTCCTCTACCTTCATCTCACCTGTACGTCAGTGTGTGCCAACATGTCCTCCTCTACCTTCATCTCACCTGTACGTCACTGTGTTCCGGCATGTCCTCCTCTAACCTTCATCTCACCTGTACGTCACTGTGTTCCGGCATGTCCTCCTCTACCTTCATCTCACCTGTATGTCAGTGTGTGCCAACATGTCCTCCTCTACCTTCATCTCACCTGTACGTCACTGTGTTCCGGCATGTCCTCCTCTACCTTCATCTCACCTGTACGTCACTGTGTTCCGGCATGTCCTCCTCTACCTTCATCTCACCTGTATGTCAGTGTATGCCAACATGTCCTCCTCTACCTTCATCTCACCTGTAGTCACTGTGTTCCGGCATGTCCTCCTCAACCTTCATCTCACCTGTATGTCACTGTGTGCCGGCATGTCCTCCTCAACCTTCATCTCACCTGTATGTCACTGTGTTCCGGCATGTCCTCCTCTACCTTCATCTCACCTGTATGTCACTGTGTGCCGGCATGTCCTCCTCTACCTTCATCTCACCTGTATGTCACTGTGTTCCGGCATGTCCTCCTCTACCTTCATCTCACCTGTATGTCACTGTGTGCTGGCATGTCCTCCTCTACCTTCATCTCACCTGTATGTCACTGTGTGCCGGCATGTCCTCCTCTACCTTCATCTCACCTGTATGTCACTGTGTTCCGGCATGTCCTCCTCTACCTTCATCTCACCTGTATGTCACTGTGTGCCAACATGTCCTCCTCTACCTTCATCTCACCTGTTGTCCCCACCCCCATCTCTCTCTGTTTCTCTTTTACTTCTCTTAGTAGTTTTTTCTTTCTCCCTCCTCTCCGTAGCTCTCTCACACCCACTTTCCTCCACCCTTATTCATTCTGCTCTTTATTTGTAGCCTATTGTCAGCAGAGGTAAGACAGAAAAAATTTAATTGGTCCTTCGGGTGTCTGAAATGGTGAGACTGCTATACTGTATAGTAGGCATTATAAGGTACAGTTGCAAGAAAAAGTATGTGAACCCCTTGGGATTCCGTGGAGTTTTGCATGAATTGGGCATAAAATGTGCTCTGAACGTCATCTAAGTCACAACAAATAGAAGAACACAGTCTGCTGAACATAATACTACACAAACATTAGTTGTTGCCATGGTTTAATTGCACATAACATGTAAACATTCACAGTGCAGGGAGGAAAACGTATATGAGGCCCTAGCTTAATGACTTCTCCCAGAGCTAATTGGAGCCAGGAGTGAGCCAACCTTGACTCCAATCAGTGGGATGATATTGGATGTGTTGCTGACACCTGTTTTGGGTTTACTGGTTTCAAGAAGCACTGTCTGATGTGAACCATGCCTCGCAGAAAAGAGCTCTCAGAAGACCTACCATCAAGAATTGTTGACTTGCATGAAGCTGGAAAGGGTTACAAAAGTATCTCCTTGAGCCTTGATGTTCCTGTGTCCACGGTAAGACAGACTGTCTACAAATGGAGAAAGTTTAGCACTGTTGCTACTCTCCCTAGGCGTGGTCGTCCTGTAAAAATGACTGCAAGAGCACAGAGCAGAATGCTGCATGAGGTAAAGAAGAATCCCAGAGTGTCAGCTAAAGACCTACAGAAATCTCTGGCACATGCTAACATTTTTGTTGACACATCTACAATAAGGAAAACATGAAACAAGAATGGAGTACATGGGAGGACACCACGGAGGAAGCCATTGCTGGCCAAAAAGAAGATTGCAGCACGTTTGAAGTTTGCAAAAGAGCACCTGGATGTTCCACAGCACTACTGGCAGAATATACTGTGGACAGATGAAACCAAGATTGAGTTGTTTGGGAAGAACACAGAACACTATGTGTGGAGAAAAAAAGGCCCAGCACACCAACATCAAACCCTCATCCCCACTGTGAAACATGGCGGAGGGAGCATCATGGTTTGGGGCTGCTTTGCTGCCTCAGGGCCTGGACGGATTATTGTCATTGATGGGAAAATGAATTCCAGAGTTTATCAAGACATTTTGCAGGAAAACGTATGACCATCTGTCCGCCAACTGAAGCTCCGCAGAGGATGGGTGATGCAACAGGACAATGACCCAAAGCATACAAGTCATTCAACAAAACAATGGCTGCAACAGCACAGAATACGCCTTCTGGATTGGCCCAGTCAGTCCTGACCTCAACCCCATTGAAATGCTGTGGCATGACCTTAAGAGAGCGATTCACACCAGACATCCCAAGAATATTGCTACACTGAAACAGTTTTGTGAAGAGGAGTGGTCCAAAATGACTCCAGATCGTTGTGCAGGTCTAATCTGCAACTACAGGAAACGTTTGGTTGAGGTTATTGCTGCCAAAGGAGGGTCAACCAGTTATTAAGTCCAAAGGTTCACATACTTTTCCCTCCCTGCACTGTGAATGTTTACATGTTATGTGCAATTAAACCATGGCAACATCTAATGTTTGTGTAGTATTATGTTCAGCCAACTGTGTTCTTCTATTGTTGTGACGTAGATGACGTTCAGAGCACATTTTATGCCCAATTCATGCAAAACTCCACGTAATCCCAAGGGGTTCACATACTTTTTCTTGCAACTGTATATGGCGACTGAATCTCCTCCCACCCATAAGACACCCCTCCAGACAGAGAATTGGCCAGTTGCCTGAAAATGCATTTTAGAAAGGTAGATGTTAGTCAAAACAAGTCAGAGATCATACTATATGAATATATTACGTGTTCTGTGTTACCTACTATGTGCCAGGTTTACCATAAATCTCAAAATGGCAGCTGTAAGAGGTCTTCAGATCCTATGAACCGTATGTTTTCTTGTAGGTGAATCATGTCAGTTTGGAGGATGTGATGCATGAGGATGCAGTGGCGGCTCTGAAGAACACATCGGATATCGTCTACCTGAAAGTGGCCAAACCCACCAATGTCTACCTGAACGATTCTTACGCTCCGCCAGATATCACCACTTGTATGTCACTGTCTGTCAACTTTGCCTCCTCTACCTTCATCTCACCTGTATGTCTTTGTCTGCCAACGTTTCCTCCTCTACCTTCATCTCACCTGTATGTCTCTGTCTGTCAACTTTGCCTCCTCTACCTTCATCTCACCTGTATGTCTCTGTGTGCCAATGTTGCCTCCTCTACCTTCATCTCACCTGTATGTCTCTGTCTGCCAGCATTTCCTCCTCTACCTTCATCTCACCTGTATGTCTCTGTGTGCCAACGTTTTCCTCCTCTACCTTCATCTCACCTGTATGTCTTTGTCTGCCAACGTTTCGTCCTCTACCTTCATCTCACCTGTATGTCTCTGTCTGTCAACTTTGCCTCCTCTACCTTCATCTCACCTGTATGTCTCTGTCTGCCAGCATTTCCTCCTCTACCTTCATCTCACCTGTATGTCTCTGTCTGCCAACGTTTCCTCCTCTACCTTCATCTCACCTGTATGTCTCTCTGCCAACGTTTCCTCCTCTACCTTCATCTCACCTGTATGTCTCTGTGTGCCAATGTTGCCTCCTCTACCTTCATCTCACCTGTATGTCTCTGTCTGCCAAATTTCCTCCTCTACCTTCATCTCACCTGTATGTCTCTGTCTGCCAGCATTTCCTCCTCTACCTTCATCTCACTTGTATGTCTTTGTCTTCCAAGGTTTCCTCCTCTACCTTCATCTCACCTGTATGTCTCTGCCAACGTTTCCTCCTCTACCTTCATCTCACCTGTATGTCTCTGTGTGCCAATGTTGCCTCCTCTACCTTCATCTCACCTGTATGTCTCTGTCTGCCAGCATTTCCTCCTCTACCTTCATCTCACTGTGTATGTCTTTGTCTTCCAAGGTTTCCTCCTCTACCTTCATCTCACTTGTATGTCTTTGTCTTCCAAGGTTTCCTCCTCTACCTTCATCTCACCTGTATGTCTCTGTCTGCCAATGTTTCCTCCTCTACCTTCATCTCACCTGTATGTCTCTTCTGCCAGCATTTCCTCTTCTACCATCATCTCACCTGTATGTCTCTGTCTGCCAACGTTTCCTCCTCTACCATCATCTCACCTGTATGTCTCTGTCTGCCAACGTTTCCTCCTCTACCATCATCTCACCTGTATGTCTCTGTCTGCCAATGTTTCCTACTCTACCTTCATCTCACCTGTATGTCTCTTTCTGCCAGCATTTCCTCTTCTACCATCATCTCACCTGTATGTCTCTGTCTGCCAACGTTTCCTCCTCTACCTTCATCTCACCTGTATGTCTCTGTCTGCCAATGTTTCCTCCTCTACCATCATCTCACCTGTATGTCTCTGTCTGCCAATGTTTTCCTCCTCTACCATCATCTCACCTGTATGTCTCTGTCTGCCAATGTTTCCTCCTCCTCTACCTTCATCTCACCTGTATGTCTCTGTCTGCCAATGTTTCCTCCTCTACCATCATCTCACCTGTATGTCTCTGTCTGCCAATGTTTCCTCCTCTACCATCATCTCACCTGTATGTCTCTGTCTGCCAATGTTTCCTCCTCTACCTTCATCTCACCTGTATGTCTCTGTCTGCCAATGTTTCCTCCTCTACCATCATCTCACCTGTATGTCTCTGTCTGCCAACGTTTCCTCCTCTACCTTCATCTCACCTGTATGTCTCTGTCTGCCAATGTTTCCTCCTCCTCTACCTTCATCTCACCTGTATGTCTCTGTCTGCCAATGTTTCCTCCTCTACCATCATCTCACCTGTATGTCTCTGTCTGCCAATGTTTCCTCCTCTACCATCATCTCACCTGTATGTCTCTGTCTGCCAATGTTTCCTCCTCTACCATCATCTCACCTGTATGTCTCTGTCTGCCAATGTTTCCTCCTCTACCATCATCTCACCTGTATGTCTCTGTCTGCCAATGTTTCCTCCTCTACCTTCATCTCACCTGTATGTCTCTGTCTGCCAATGTTTCCTCCTCTACCATCATCTCACCTGTATGTCTCTGTCTGCCAATGTTTCCTCCTCTACCTTCATCTCACCTGTATGTCTCTGTCTGCCAACGTTTCCTCCTCTACCATCATCTCACCTGTATGTCTCTGTCTGCCAATGTTTCCTCCTCTACCATCATCTCACCTGTATGTCTCTGTCTGCCAACGAATTTTCCTCCTCTACCATCATCTCACCTGTATGTCTCTGTCTGCCAATGTTTCCTCCTCTACCTTCATCTCACCTGTATGTCTCTGTCTGCCAATGTTTCCTCCTCTACCATCATCTCACCTGTATGTCTCTGTCTGCCAACGTTTCCTCCTCTACCTTCATCTCACCTGTATGTCTCTGTCTGCCAACGTTTCCTCCTCTACCATCATCTCACCTGTTCTCTTCTGCTGTACTCACACCTCTCATTGATTCTCTCTCAGTCTTTCTGCCTTGCTCCCACTTTCTCTGCTATCCTTTTCTTTCCTCTTCCTGCTCTCTCCCTCCAATCTGCAGCTTCTTCCTCATCCTCTTCCCTCCTCTCTTCTTCATTCTCATCTCTCTCTTCATTTGCAGCCTACTCTCAGCAGCTGGACAGTGATTTGTGTCACCCCAGTTACCTGGGCCCTGAGTATGCACCAGTCATGACACCAACTTCACCTCGAAGATACTCCCCAATTCCCAAGGAGCTAATGGGAGAGGAGGAGGTGCCACGGTAAGAGGGGTAGAAAGGTGAGGCATGGGTGGAAGAGCGGTGGGCATGACCAAGGTTTGGTGCAGAATATATTAGATTGATAAATCTGTTCGCTGGGTAGAAGAAAGGTCAGAGATTCTGGGTGGAGAATGTGGGCAATGAAGAGGCAGATGTATTCTGCTTTTCACACCTGTCATTTCTACAGGGAACCACGGAGGATTGTTATACATCGTGGATCAACGGGTCTTCTAGGTTTTAATATTGTTGGCGGAGAAGACGGGGAAGGAATTTTTATCTCATTCATTTTGGCGGGAGGACCAGCTGATCTGAGCGGAGCCCTGCGGAAAGGAGATCAGATCTTGTCTGTGAGTATGGACACCTCCAGTACTTCGTGTCATTATATGTAACATGTGCATGGTGTACACGTAACAAATGGAATGCGCATAACTCAATTTTCCTGAACAACCGCCAGGTGAATGGAGTAGATCTGAGGAACGCAACACACGAACAAGCAGCACTCGCTCTGAAGAATGCTGGACAGACCGTCACCATCATTGCACAATACAAACCGGAAGGTATGTTGTATGTTGTATGTTACCAGCAAATCTGTGTCCATTCCTTCAGTTGGGATTAAATATGGTGGTGGTATTGTTAAACGTTGGCCGTACAGTATATCCCCGTACAGATGCTGTCTGTGAATGATGTGCTGTATATGCTGCAAAAATATGGATGCAGAGCATGCATGGCACAACGCATGGCCACAGAGGGCCGTCACTGAGAGATTGATTCTAAGGACACCAAAATGGAGGCAGGGGAGGGGCACGCTAAACTTCTGCCATATTCCATCATTCATAAGTGGCCTTATACATTCTCCATCATTCCCATAAGTGACCCCTTACCCTGTACATTCTGCCATATGCCATCCCTTAAGTGGCCCCTTACCCTGTACATTCTGCCATATGCCATCATTCCCATAAGTGGCCCCTTACCCTGTACATTCTGCCATATGCCATCATCCCATAAGTGGCCCCTTACCCTGTACATTTCTGCCATATTACCCCATTCTGCCATATTCCATCATTCCCATTAGTGGCCCCTTACCCTGTACATTCTGCCATATTCCATCATTGATCCCATAAGTGGCCCCTTACCCTGTACATTCTGCCATATTCCATCATTCCCATAAGTGGCCCCTTACCCTGTACATTCTGCCATATTCCATCATTCCCATTAGTGGCCCCTTACCCTGTACTGTACATTCTGCCCCTTATATTTGCCCATCATTCCCATAAGTGGCCCCTTACCCTGTACATTCTGCCATATTCCATCATTCCCATAAGTGGCCCCTTGGCCCCTTACCCCTGTACATTCTGCCATATTCCCATCATTCCCATAAGTGGCCCCTTACCCTGTACATTCTGCCATATTCCATCATTCCCATTAGTGGCCCCTTACCCTGTACATTCTGCCATATTCCATCATTCCCATAAGTGGCCCCTTACCCTGTACATTCTGCCATATTCCATCATTCCCATAAGTGGCCCCTTACCCTGTACATTCTGCCATATTCCATCATTGATATAAGTGGCCCCTTACCCTGTACATTTCTGCCATATTCCATCATTTGATATAAGTGGCCCCTTACCCTGTACATTCTGCCATAAGTGGCCCCTTACCCCATCATTCCATCATATAAGTGGCCCCTTACCCTGTACATTCTGCCATCATTCCCATAGTGGCCCCTTACCCTGTACATCATTCCATCATATAGTGGCCCCTTACCCTGTACATTCTGCCTGCCATCATTCCCATAAGTGGCCCCTTACCCTGTCATTCTGCCATATTCCATCATTGATATAAGTGGCCCCTTACCCTGTACATTCTGCCATATGCCCATTCATTGGCCCCTTACCCTGTACAGTGGCCCCTTACCCTGTACATTCTGCCATTATCCCATTAGTGGCCCCCATCATTCCCATATAAGTGGCCCCTTACCCTGTACATTCTGCCATCATTACCCCATTAGTGGCCCCTTACCCTGTACATTCTGCCATATGCCCATGCCATTCCCATTAGTGGCCCCTTACCCTGTACTCTACCATACATAATGTTAGATTGCCCACAACACTTGCAATGGGTGGGGGAAGGCAGACACACCCTACAGTGGCATTAGGCTTGGAACAGTCCAGCTAGGAGTGAACATGTGACATGGAAGCATCACGTTGACATCTCAGAGAGACGAGTCCTGAAGTCATCCCGATGCAGCGAGTGTCCCCGCCTTTGTCATAGGAGCGAGGCCTTCTACATGCTCAGTACCCTACATCCAGGCCGTTCTTCCCAGACGATTCTGACAGATGGGAATTGGGGGGTTCTGCACATGTTCCTGTGGTGGGCACCGCGTGTTCGTTGCTCAAGCAGTGGCTTTCTTTCTCCAACGGTATGTGCTTTGCCAAAATGTTTTCAAAAAAACAGCACAAGTAGAATTTGTGTGTGTATTTTTGCTTGTTGAGCCAGATCTTCGAGTCCACATGACATCTTGCTGGTCACACGAGTAAGGTGCCTGACCCTATCTTTGAGCCAATCTGGTAATGATGGTTCCCTGGGATTGCAAGTGATATAGAAGAGAGGACAATGTGCTGGAGCTTCTGGAGGGAGGACACTGAAGGTGAAGGTCCTATCCTGTACCTTCTCCTCCACCCGGTTCATGAAGATATCATTTCATAGCAGGAAGACTTCTATCGCTGTCAGCAAGTTCTGAGGAACGCACTTGGTGAGGAAGGCAGGGGTGATATATTATTATGTTATTATTATACAGTATGAATAAAGCACCAATAGTTGGCTCAGCGCTGAACATTACAAAGGGGGACAGAAACATGTGACAGAACAATACCAATACAATGCAAAAACATGAGGGGATCGAGGGCCCTGCTCTTTCGAGCTTACAGAAGAGAGGACAATGTGCAGGAGCTTCTGGAGGGAGGACACTGAAGGTGAAGGTCCTATCCTGTACCTTCTCCTCCACCTGGTTCATGAAGATATCATTTCATAGCAGGAAGACTTCTATCGCTGTCAGCAAGTTCTGAGGAACGCACTTGGTGAGGAAGGCAGGGGTGATATGGTAACTCGTGTCAGTCATGTCGTCATATGTGTCGCTACAGAGTACAGCCGGTTTGAGGCCAAGATCCATGACCTGCGGGAGCAGCTGATGAACAGCAGTCTGGGTTCAGGCAGCGCCTCATTGCACAACACCAACGGCAACAAAGGGGATTCTACATCCGGTAAGTTGGGGGAGGAGCACAATACACATACTAAGAAATACCATGAAAATGATGTCTACTGCCAATAGAAGGCACATCCCTGACAATATGCATGATACGTCCCTGGCAATGGGGATTCCTAGGGACTGCCCCTCATTGTTCCTCTATTATTAGAAGTTAGTATGTCCCGGTTACCCTGTATCAGAAATGGATATGCCATTAATAAACTGTATGAGAAGTCAGTGTGTCTTCTCCTTCTACCATGTTAGGTGTTGGTATGTCCCTGCTCCCCATATTAGAAGTTAGTGTGTCCCTGCTCCCCGTATTAGAGGTTGGTATGTCCCTGCTCCCCATATTAGAGGTTGGTATGTCCCTTCTCCCCATATTAGAGGTTGGTATGTCCCTGCTCCCCATATTAGAGGTTGGTATGTCCCTGCTCCCCATATTAGAGGTTGGTATGTCCCTCTCCCCATATTAGAGGTTGGTATGTCCCTCTCCCCATATTAGAGGTTGGTATGTCCCCTCTCCCCATATTAGAGGTTGGTATGTCCCTGCTCCCCATATTAGAGTTCGGTATGTCCCTCTCCCCATATTAGAGGTTGGTATGTCCCTGCTCCCCATATTAGAGGTTGGTATGTCCCTCTCCCCATATTAGAGGTTGGTATGTCCCTCCTCCCCGTATTAGAGGTTGGTATGTCCCTGCTCCCCGTATTAGAGGTTGGTATGTCCCTCTCCCCATATTAGAGGTTGGTATGTCCCTCTCCCCATATTAGAGGTTGGTATGTCCCTGCTCCCCATATTAGAGGTTGGTATGTCCCTGCTCCCCATATTAGAGGTTGGTATGTCCCTCTCCCCATATTAGAGGTTGGTATGTCCCTCTCCCCATATTAGAGGTTGGTATGTCCCTCTCCCCATATTAGAGGTTGGTATGTCCCTCTCCCCATATTAGAGGTTGGTATGTCCCTCTCCCCATATTAGAGGTTGGTATGTCCCTCTCCCCATATTAGAGGTTGGTATGTCCCTCTCCCCATATTAGAGGTTGGTATGTCCCTCTCCCCATATTAGAGGTTGGTATGTCCCTCTCCCCCATATTAGAGGTTGGTATGTCCCTCTCCCCGTATTAGAGGTTGGTATGTCCCTCTCCCCGTATTAGAGGTTGGTATGTCCCTCTCCCCGTATTAGAGGTTGGTATGTCCCTCTCCCCGTATTAGAGGTTGGTATGTCCCTCTCCCCGTATTAGAGGTTGGTATGTCCCTCTCCCCGTATTAGAGGTTGGTATGTCCCTGCTCCCCGTATTAGAGGTTGGTATGTCCCTCTCCCCGTATTAGAGGTTGGTATGTCCCTCTCCCCGTATTAGAGGTTGGTATGTCCCTCTCCCCGTATTAGAGGTTGGTATGTCCCCTCTCCCCGTATTAGAGGTTGGTATGTCCCTCTCCCCGTATTAGAGGTTGGTATGTCCCTCTCCCCGTATTAGAGGTTGGTATGTCCCTCTCCCCGTATTAGAGGTTGGTATGTCCCTCCTCCCCGTATTAGAGGTTGGTATGTCCCTCTCCCCGTATTAGAGGTTGGTATGTCCCTCTCCCCATATTAGAGGTTGGTATGTCCCTCTCCCATATTAGAGGTTGGTATGTCCCTCTCCCCCATATTAGAGGTTGGTATGTCCCTGCTCCCCATATTAGAGGTTGGTATGTCCCTCTCTCCCCATTATTAGAGGTTGGTATGTCCCTCTCCCCATATTAGAGGTTGGTATGTCCCCCTCCCCATATTAGAGGTTGGTATGTCCCTCTCTCCCCGTATTAGAGGTTGGTATGTCCCTCTCCCCATATTAGAGGTTGGTATGTCCCTCTCCCCATATTAGAGGTTGGTATGTCCCTCCCTCATATTAGAGGTTGGTATGTCCCCCCCATATTAGAGGTTGGTATGTCCCTGCTCCCCATATTAGAGGTTGGTATGTCCCTCTCCCCATATTAGAGGTTGGTATGTCCCTCTCCCCATATTAGAGGTTGGTATGTCCCTCTCCCCATATTAGAGGTTGGTATGGTCCCCATATTAGAGGTTGGTATGTCCCTCTCCCATATTAGAGGTTGGTATGTCCCTGCTCCCCATATTAGAGGTTGGTATGTCCCCTCTCCCCATATTAGAGGTTGGTATAGAGGTTGGTATGTCCCTCTCCCCATATTAGAGGTTGGTATGTCCCTCTCCCCATATTAGAGGTTGGTATGTCCCTCTCCCCATATTAGAGGTTGGTATGTCCCCCCTGCTCCCCATATTAGAGGTTGGTATGTCCCTCTCCCCATATTAGAGGTTGGTATGTCCCTCTCTCCCCATATTAGAGGTTGGTATGCCCCCGCTTATTAGTATGGGTATGTAGCAGACTCCCCATTGCCCTTGGCTCCCCCTATTTCATATTGATGGTCTTATGTTCTCCCCATATTAGACCTTAGGTATGCGCTCTTTTCCCTATGACAAGACACGGTATTGTCCCTCTCCTTCTTCTTTCCCCATATTAGAGCTTTCTCAGCCAGCCCTGAGCTTCCCATAAGTTTGGAGATGTATTCTGCATGTCCTGGATGCCCACTGACGAGGAATGGTTGGCAGGCTCATATTAGAGGTTGCAGCCGGAGGTGAAGAGTTGGTCGGCTTCATCCCCAGTAAAAGAAGGTGAGAAGTATGCCCTTTAGATCGATTATTAGGTGCTTTGTCTTGTCACTTTGGATTCAGCTAGACTTGACCTGGGGGCCCCAGTTAGAGGTTGACTCATCCTGGGTCACCTTTAAATCTGAGGCCCAAATCCCAGGCTGGTCTTGGTTGCTCTTATTCAGAGGCCCCAATCCTAGCTGCTAAGTTTTATATTCTGGTAGGCCCAAATTGCAGGACTGGCCTTGGGTCATATTCAGTGAGGTATAGTGAGAGTCCTGCACCTCTCCACTAAGACAAAGGACCCCTGAGACTAGAGATAGAACCCCCCAGGAGTAGTCATGGGGGCCATCAGGGGTATAGTGATGCACCTCCACTGACGACAAATGGTGGCCTCTGAGACTAGAGATAGAACCCCCCAGGTGTATTAATGGGGGGCCATCCCAGGGGTAAGAAGTGAGAAGTCCTGCACCTCTCCTCTAAGACAAAGGTGCCCCTGTCACTAGAGATCATCCCCCAGGAGTAGTCATGGGGGGCCCCCATCAGGGGTATAGTGAGTCCTGGGCACCTCTCCTCTGAGACTAGAGATAGAACCCCCCAGGCTGTAGTCATGGGGGCCATCAGGGTATAGTGAGATCCTGCACCTCAGTTTTATAGACAAAGGACCCCCTGAGACTAGAGATGGGTCAACCCCCCAGGTGTAGTCATAGGGGGCCATCAGGGGTATAGTGAGAGTGACCCTGCACCTCTCCTCTAAGACAAAGACAAACCCCTGAGACTAGAGAGAGAACCCCCCAGGTGTATTCATGGGGGGCCATCAGGGGTATAGTGAGAGTCCTGCACCTCTCCTCTAAGACAAAGGACCCCTGAGACTAGAGATAGAACCCCCCAGGAGTAGTCATGGGGGGCCATCAGGGGTATAGTGAGAGTAAGTCCTGCACCTCTCCTCTAAGACAAAGGACCCCTGAGACTAGAGATAGAACCCCCCAGGAGTAGTCATGGGGGGCCATCAGGGGTATAGTGAGAGTCCTGCACCTCTCCTCTGAGACTAGAGATAGAACCCCCCCCCAGGAGTATTCATGGGGGGCCATCAGGGGTATAGTGAGTCCTGCACCTCGGCCTTCCTCTGATAAAGAGAAAGAACCCCCCAGTGTTGTGAGTCTGGGGATCCTTTCTGTGGAGGGGTATTGTGATTCCTGCACCTCTGCTGGCACTAAAGGAGGAACCCCCCAGGGGTATACAAAATGGGGGGCCAGAAATCAGTGGGGAATACAGTATAGTGAGAGTCCTGCACCTGTCCTCTGAGACTAGAGATAGAACCCCCCAGAATACAGTCATGGTGGTGGCATACCATGAGGATGTGGGGTACAGTGAGAGTGTCATTGCACCTCTCCTCTGGGACTAGAGATGGGGTAACCCCCCAGGTGTATCATGGATGGGGGGGATAGTGGGGTACAGAATACAGTGATGTGGTGAGGGGGCACCTCTCCTCTGAGTAGAGATAAACAGTGATGTGGGTGGGGGAATTGGGGTACAGAACACAGTGGTGGTGAGGGGGAGTCCTGGGGTACAGAGATAGACAGTGATAGGAACCCCCCAGGTACAGTGATAGTGGTGGGGGGGGCCATCAGTGGGGTACAGAATGAGGTGATGGCACGGGGATCTGGTCACACGTCGCTCATTGTCGGTGATATGGGTGAGGGTTTTGGGGTCTTGAATTACAGTGATGGGAAAGGAGGGATCTGGGGTAACAGAAACAGTGATGGGTGAGGGATTGGGGTACTGAATACTGTTGATTCTTTCTGGGGTACAGAATATGGTGATGGGAGGAGGTACCTCTGGGGTACATGGGACATCAAGTCCTGAATAACAGAGGGGGGTGCAATACGGTGATGGGTGGAGGGATCTGGGGTACAGAATACAGTGATGTGGGGGAGGGGGAAGGGGGGGGTACAGAATACAGTGATGTGGTGGAGGGGAGGGATTGGGGTACAGAAAAATATGATGTGATGGGAGGGGGGATCTGGGGTACAGAATACAGTGATGGGAGGAGGGGGATCTGGGGTACACAGAATACAGTGATGGGAGGGGGATCTGGGGGTACAGAAATGGAGGGTATCTCGGGGTACGGAATATGGTGATGGAGGGGGGATCTGGGGTACAGAATATGGTGATGGAGCGGGGGGGGGAATAGGGATCTGGGGTACAGAATACAGTGATGTGGGGGAGGGAGGATTTGGGGTACAGAATATGGTGATGGGAGGGGGATCTGGGGTACAGAATACAGTGATGGGAGGAGGATCTGGGGTACAGAATACAGTATGTTGATGGGAGGGGGGATCTGGGGTACAGAATACGGTGATGTGGGGGGAGGGAGGATTTGGGGTACAGAATATGGTGAATGGGAGGGGGGATCTGGGGTACAGAATACGTTGATAGGAGGAGGTATCTG